GTCCAAGTTCACTGAATATGCAGCAGAAATAATTCAGGTTTTTTCCCATTAAGTGTCTCTAATTTGGACCAGGAAAGAGGCTCATCTAAGTAAATTATCTCTCACAACTGTGACACTGCTCCCAGTGCCAACCACCAAACACCAGCGTGCTTTGGACATGTCCCATATCACAGCTACTGCTCCTCCAGACCAAGACACATCGCGGTTTCACGGTTTGCCCCCTCAGATTAAAGTGCTTCTTACATAAGTCGTGGGATGTCACTGACAGGCACGGTCCCATCGTGTGTCTCGTTCTCCCCGTCCTCCTCCTCCTCCTCGCTGCTTTCTGACTCCTCGCTGGAGGAGGAGTAGTCTGTCACCTTCTTCAGGGGGCGATTGGTTTCTTCAATGCGCAGCTCCCTCAACTCTTTGGCTAAGGCCGTCAGATCCTAAAGGGGATGGGGGCAATAAAATAAGAAAGCAATGGCTATTATATTTAAAGTAAGGAGAATGTCACATACATCTCTTCGAAAGCCAATGCTAACAGCACAAGCAACAAGAAATAGCTTTACAGAGTCGTTACAAACATGAGACGAACGTAAGACAATGTTTGTAGCATGTAGCATTTATTAAACAAAACAAAACTGATTTACGCTCACTGAAAAAATCAATAGCCAACCTCTTCTTTCTCTGTTTGGAACGTGTATGTGCATATATATACACACACTTATATGTATATACACGACAAAATTATATTTGTTGGAAAAGGTGAAGTTCAGTCACCATCATAGTAAACTGGAAAACAACATCATTTCAAAGATTGGCTCGGAGAATTTCTCTTCTTTCAAACTTCTCAAAGAGACCCCGTAATTGTATTTATTCTGTAATAAATGCATTTGGGGAAGGAAGCAATGACAGCATCTCCCATGGAGAGGTGCAATCCCCACGTCAAGAGCTGCTTCTGTGGCGAGTCTCCGCCATGGGGCGGCTGCCCAGAGGCGGGGAGGAGCACGAGGAGAAGCACCCAGCTGAGCCAGGCTTGGGAGTCACAGCTCTGAGTCAGCCACACGGTCAAAAAATAAAAATAATAATAAAAAAATCCCTCAGCGGGACCCCATTAAGCACTTTATGTGAAATGTGGCAGCCTACAAGCTAAGGGAAAAAAAAAGCCTTGAAACAAGAAAAAAAGATAGGAGCAGTCCCAAAGCCTAGTAATAATTTTTCAGTTTACCATGACTTTGATGAGGTCTCAGACCCGACAGTCATATAAAATAGACACCGCTATTTCAAAACAAGGAACATGGCAGGCACCGTGTAGAAAAGAGATTTTTTGTTATCTTACATGCTTTTATAGCAATGCAGGGGGAAGCAGTAGGGCAGAAAAGCATGAGAGCTCGAATTAGAATGGGTTAGAGAACTCTGTTGCACAACACATGCACATGACGAACAAAGCATCGCAATTGTCAGTCTTACCATTTCTCCCTATATTAGTGACCGAGGTAGGCATCAGTGCATTCGGTCAGAGATAAAGGATTAGGGAGAAAGAAACTCATTGAAAAAGACTAAATTCCACAATTGTCTTACGGCCATACTCTCATTTACTGCATTTCCAGTTTACCGTTCCAGCAGGGCGATTATGGCAATATTAACTATGATTGCAAAGGGAGCTCTTAAAACCTATCCCGTCGACACGTGAAGAAAACGATGGAAAACTTCTATGGCTGAGATGCAAACCCAGTTTATTTTTTCTTTTTCAATTGTGAAGCAGGAATATGTTGCAAGCAATCTGTACTTTGGTTACTGGTGACCCACACCTCCCGGCGGGCTCCCACCACGGACAGCCACACATTCTGCTCCCAGGTCTGCCCTGCCTGCCCTCTGCTGCAGAGCAGAGGCTCCCACCAACATCAGAGGGCTTTGGTTCTGACCCATAAATATTAGTATACCAAAAAAAGCTAGATTTTTAACAAAAGGATCAATCCCTGCTTCTCAGCAGGTGCCTGTGATGGATATTATATGTCCTTCTTGCAATCCAAACACACTCTGTACCTTAAAGAAAAGCTCTTTATTGTGGTTGAAGAGAGAATGTGGTATTACAAGAGTTTTATTTTCAATGCTAACATGTTTGAGATTGAAATACTGTCAAATCTACAGTCACGACAACTAATTATTTTAATTGGCACTGTAGCAGCTTCTAAAATACGATTGTTTCCTTTCTTAAATAAGAATAAATGAAAATTTCAGCAGCTTAACAATGCTTTCCTTTTAGAGTATAAAAGATGCTCTTTACTGAGTAGTTGCCTCTTGAGTTGGATTAGAGCCTTCTCAACTCTGTACAGGATTTCAGAACTCTTAAAATTGCAGCTAGACTTTCTGCAGTGTAGGACCAGTCCTAAAGCCTTCCCTATCACAGTGATGGACAAGGAAGATTACTTCTTTCTTGCACTTTCCATTTCTAACACTGCTTCAAACCCTCTTTGGCCATCACTAGAAGAGAGTCAAGTATTTTAAAAATCAACTTAATTAGTTTTTAATAACTAATTTGGAAGTTATAACAGCAATAATACTCCCAGACAAAATCATCAGATAACTTGTGTTTCCTAGTTAAAGCTTTGCCTCAGGATGGTTAATTCTTTGATGCTATCGTTTTCTCTAAGTAATGAGCACTTTGTAGGATTAAACGGCCTCACCGAGTTGTTCTTGGACCAAAACCAATCTGACAACCAGAAAGAAAGTGCTCTGTAGTTCCACATGTGTTTCAAATGTTACCGAGGGTGACATAATACATAAGTTAGCAGTATCAGTGATCTTTAATTATTTTTAATTACAAAGACTTCTTTAGATTTAATATTTGCTGGAATCAAGTCAGATTGGTTTCCAAAAATCACGTAGCTCATTGAACTTGAACACACGCTGCCTCTATTTAGACACTGATTTATGTGCTTTTTTCTTAACAAAGCACCTCATTAAACAAAACTCATTGCTCATGTTTTATCCAAGAGAACAAGTTAACTAACCAGCACATCTTCCTTTTTTCATATCTTCTATTTTTAGAGGAAAGAGGCTGCAGGAGGGGCTGCTGATACCGGTGTTTTCCATTACAGCCCCACGGTATCAGCAGAATGTGAGCAGCGATGCACGTGCGAGGCAAGTTGAATGCTAAATTAGGAATGTGAACATTTAAACATTCACCATCGCCAGACGTGCGCATTTTTAAAATATTATTGTGTGGTGTAAAAGGCGTAATTCAGGACTCCTATTTAAAAGGATGGATGAAGACCAGCCTTGCCCATCAACATCCGAGCAGGCTCTGCTGATTCTGTCTTTACAGCTGAAGCTCTGCTCCATGAGAATGAATTACCTGCTGTCTTCCACTGCTCTGTTCTCCTTTATTTGTCAAGAGCCTTTGTTAGAATTAGGCTTAAATCACATTTCAAATACCACTCGATGGCTCCACTGAAATCAGTGGGCGAGGGGGCTATAGCTGAGAGCAGAATGTGCTGAGTGGTGCAGACTGCCCGGGCCACCTCCACTGGCACAAGAGACCTCTGCTCTTGCTCTTTTTCTTTCAAAGATGCCGAACAACAGCTGCAGCCTTTGCTGGGGCGCTGCTCGCCACGGCCTCCATGCAAGTGGTGTGGCCAGTGGGTTTCGGGCAGCCCACGGCCGAGCAGAATGCGCCGGCAGTGCCGCTCCCCTCCCCGCGCCGAAACGCAATCGTTCGGTCTCCCTTCTCACCCACGATTGCATCGCCACCTTTTCAACGTCAGCACCAAGACAACCCGGTTCAGTGTTAAGCACTAACTAGTCAACCTTGCATAGGCATGACCCACTGAGAAAAGATATCACTAACCTCATCTATAGCTTTCTTATAGCTCTGTGGGTAAAGGAAGAATAATCAGCATCAGAGGAAACAGATCGGGACAGGAAAAAGCCAGAGGAAGGGCAAGCAGGTTAGAAATAAAATTAGAATTGTTAGCTCAACGCTGTGGAGTGTAGAGAGAAAAACAACATCAACAAAACATTAATACACATTAAAAAAGAGAAGCAGTGGAAATTCATTTCATTATTAGGCCGACTCTGCAGTTTTAAAATACAAATGTCAACAGCATTAAACCAGAAGAAAACATTTTGGATGAGATTTTGCTCAGAATACTAGAACGGGAGTGTACGGAGAGCACTACGGGGTTTGGTTTTAAGCTGTGCAGGCTGTTGGGGGCCAGTGGCCCAGCCTTCCCGAGCAGAGCCTTCCTCCGCCGGGCTGCTGCGGGGGACATGCAGCACGGAACACAACAATGTGCCATCGGCAACCTCCGCGCCCAAGCTAGCAAAGCCCTTAAGCATCTGCTTCCCATGAAAACACATGCTTAAGTGCTTTCCCCTAGACTTGGGCCCCCAATCAAAACTCATGCACTCTCTTAAGCATTCAAATATCCCATGGGCTCTCATTGTACCACTACTTTCCAGTCTCTCCACTGGAGGAGCAATGGTACTAGCCTCTTTTTTGGGGTCCCTGCAGTTGTGCTATCGCACTCAAGGGAAACATGGCCAAGCCAGCTGGCAACATTCCCATGGGAAATAATTTCAGACTCACAGCGGGTCGGCTCGGTCGTGTCACGTCCCTGTTGTCTTCCTGCTTTACCTTGGCAGGCTCATGGGAGAGCACAGGGGACCCCTCAGGCTTGGCGTTCCCTGGGTGAAAGGCAAGTGGAGAGAGTGGGAATTAAAATGATGCCAAAAGCTGTCACTGCATCCCATTGCCTGGGATGGCCAGGTGCAGGGGCTTCATCATCATTTTGCTTCCGCTGTCCTGAAAAACCCTTCTGCTCCTCTCTGCCTGCCTGTCACTGCAAGAAGTCTCCATCAACACAGCAACAGAAGCCATAATCCAGCCCAGCCTCTACTGACAGCCCTCTTGCAGTGTTGCTGCTCTTTTCTTCTACTAAAGAAACAAATCTGTTCTGCAAAATTTGTTGGTATGTGAGAAATTAAAAGCTCTGCAGCATCTGACACTGCTAGGACATTATTTGTCACAGGACTTCTCATTAATAAAACCAAAACCAAACCAAAAAGGAAAATTGGTGATAAACTCCTTTTATTGACTACCGAGAGGAGCGATGATTCCAACAGCAGATACGTCATCTTAAGGCCAAGTCATAAAAAATTCAAAGCATGGAGGCAGCTTTTGTTTTAATGTGCTTCAGCCCTGGGGATTTATACTGTGTGACTGTGCCAGAAATGCAGATGTATGAGTTACATGTGCTTTAGCAACTCCTACTGCGATTAAATGGGGGAATGGAATATCTTTAAGAGTGGCTCTAAGATGAGAGGAAACTGGGCTAGGAACATAAACCCAGCGTCAGCACAGCTGTCTGGCGGAAACATTTTAGAGAAAGCTTCTTACAGGCTAATTCACTCCTCTACTCCCATCTCAGGCTTTGCACAAAGATGAAGCTCCCGAAAAATATTATCAACTCACCAAAAAGGGAAGCACACTTCCAAAGAAACCATCACAGAAGAAGTGAGCTTAGGTTGACGGAGATAGGAAACACAATGTTTTGGTTTTTTTCACCCTACAGCATAACCCCCATCTCTGCCTGTACAAGCTGCGTGGCACCACAGTGCTCCAGCAGAGCACAGGAGCAGCGCATACTGCCATGGGCATCCTACATCTGCATCCAGCCAAAAGGGAGTGTCAGCATCTCTGTGGGCAAGGAGGCCACCTGGTCACAGATGTACCTCAGAAATGATGAATCTTTTGATTTTTTGTTTTTTTAAAAAAAACTCCCATGCCACCACAGACCTCTTGTCCTTCCTGCTTACCAAAGAAGCCTCAGAAAGCACTCCTGGTGCCGTGGGGTGTTTCCAAGACCCTCACCTCTGACTCTGTTGCGCTCACTGGAGCCAGCCTGGGAGCCGGGCTGGGACCCACCCTGGGAGCTGGGCTGGGAGCTGGGAGTGCTGGAGCTGGAGGAGCTGCCACTGCTGGTCCTCTGCAGCGGGCTCTCCACGATGGGCTCTGTCCTCCTCAGGTCCGGGTTGCTGCAGGAGCACAAAAGACAGGGGCACCGTCAGATGGTGCTGCATACACCTCCAGGGCTTCAGATCCTTCCCACCCTGACAGGGACAGCGAGGAGACATCTCCTCTGGTGGAGAAGACAGGACTGAGGTCTTCTCTTCTGAAGCTATTGAGCCTGCACACCCCACTGAAATCCATGGGAGCTGAATTAGGCACTCAACATCTTTATGGAGGTGGACCACAACCATAATGAAAAATCGGCTAGAGCAGCTTTCTACTCTTAATTTCCCAAATTTGGCAAAAATTAAAAGATCCTTAGCTCAGAACTTCCTTTCAGCCTGTAGATTAACTGGATTAGCCACCAATATTCATCATAAAAGCAGAAATTTGCAAATTGCTGTTAGACAGAGAAAGAAACATTTAAGTGAAGAAAGGATCTCAAGCTTGCAACAGGGCTGCAGATCACTTTTACCACTTATTCACACTTCCCAATTTTTATGGCTTCACTTCAAACTTGCATCAGATAACCACTTTTCTTCCTTGATTTCTCTCACCCTTGTGAACATACATAACTCTAGAATAAAAAGCATCCTTGATACACCAAGAGTGACTAATATCTCTCTGGCTATTAGATGCCTTTAGGAAATTAATTCTTATTTGGCACTGAAATGACATAAGACATGCTCATGCAGAGTTATGCGACTTGGTTTTAGACAATATTTCAGTTAAATGATCTTATTTTTCAAAGTCCTGTTAAAATGCATAGAAACCTTTCTCCATCAAGTCCAATTAGGACTTTGCATACATAAAAGTGATGTGGTCATAGTGCTACATTATGCAAAGGCCTACTGCCATAATGGGGTCCCTGGCAGCATCGTCTGGACACTGCCTAGCACAGATATTATATAAAATCCCTGCCTAGTGTTATCTTGCAGGTGGGCATTAAAATTATGAGAGCAAGACAGTAACTTTCTGTGTGCAAGGAAATATCCCCTCATTTGTTACAATAGGGTGAAAAATAAGAGAAAGCGTATTTTAATAACATTTACATTTATGAATGGGAGGAATCAAGAACCAGTAAGACAAGTGGTTAAAAAGTAAAACTGCTACACTGCTGTGAGAGAAATTAAATGTGACACCATTTCACTGAATACTTAGTTTAATGGACATGGTAGCACGTTAATAATTTCCAGTTTTCATCAAACTGAAGGCCTGCAGCTCATGTTGTACAGCTGACATGTCCTCAGCTAAATTAACTCATGAAACGTATTTAAATAAAATAACACTAATGCATTTACCTGTACTGAGTAAAAGGTACCCAGGACTGAGACTGGGAGGCTGAAGAAAACACTGGGCAACCTTCAACACGAATACCACAGACTCCCGTTACCCTTTTTACTTTCCATACCATCACTTTTTAGGACTAGGCAGTCCAATATCCCTCTGCATTTTAAATTGTCCTTCAAGCAACAGCTAATTAAAAGAACAACATTTTCAGAATTCAAAATGCTTCAGCCTTAAGCAATAAAGAGGAACCAACCATGATATGAATGTTTTTGGTCTAATTTAAAAACAACAACAGCAAAAAAGGTCCATCCTCCCTCTGCTACCCATGCTGGCTACCCTAAGCTCCTGCCCACTGTATGTGAGTTTCCTGATGCATGGCTGGGGCACTGAGCTGGAAAGAAAGATGTATGCTGAAAACTGACTGTACCTGGCTACGAACACCCCAGCATTCATCTTCGGGCCTCACCCTAAAGGGACAAGGCAGGAAGTAGAAAGCAAAAAGCTCCATCATGCGAGGCTACGCGGAGCACGTATTTACCCCGAGATTTGCCTCTCTGAGGTCTTGATCTGCCCATGGTGCTCTGCAAACCAGATACAAGCCCTGGTGTGACTAAGCCACGTTTTTTCCAGCTGGCTCTGAGCAGAAGCTGTCAACTTCCCTGCTCATTTTAAACATGCCCAGAGATAGCTCTGACATGGAAGACGTCAGATGTGGTGCAACATCCTTCTTTGGTGTGCTACAAGCGTGCCCTGCACACCACTGTGCTGGAGAGATGCATCTGGCTCAGCTAAAGGCTCTAGTCCTAGGAAGATGAAAGGAATTTAATCCTTGATCTACATCCACAGATTTCACCAAGCTGTATCAGTGTCTGTTCCTGGCAACATTCCTCAGTCATTATCTGTGAAAACCTACTCTAATGTATAGGAAATGTATGGTATGTAGCACCGAAACCTCCCCACTGGCTTATATGGATCCCCTTAATATGCAAGAGGTGACACTGGGAGAACCAGAATCTAATTCCATTAAAGGGAGCACCCAAATTCCTGTCTGACCCCAGAGCAGCAGATCCAGCATCCACCTCCAAACCCTGTGATGCTCAGGAATGTACTCAACCCAGTAGCTAAACCTGCAGTGATCCAAGCACTTGATGTTGGTACGAAGTACCAATGAATGCAAAAGTTCATCCCAGCTACAAGAGAAACATCACAAATCTCGTGTTGCTACCAGTCAGCAAGAGCAGGACTAAATCCCAGCCCATGCTGGGCTCCCCATCTGGGCGATGCCAAGATCAACACAGGCAGTACCATGCCAGGGTCACACCTGCCCGTCCCCCTCGGTGTCCCTACCTTGCCCGAATGGGCTGGGAGCCCAGCCGGGGCCCCAGGGCGCTGCCATTGCCCGGGGAGTTCTTCCTCGCCAGAGCAGGGGATATGGAAGTGGTTCGTTGAGGCACCTGGAAAAGAACAGAGACATTCACCGTCACCCAGTCTGTCCCACCACGTCATGGAGCCCTTGGCTCATCTGAGACATCACCTTTCAGCACTGCCTTAAGATTTAATTTGCAATTGATTTCCCACTGAGAGACAGTAGTTACAGCAATTGTAAAACACAAAGCACTTGGCTTGTAGAAGTAATCACCCGAGTATGAGAGAGAAACAAGCTGCAAAGGTGCGGACAGGGATGCTCGTGGCAGAGGAGCCCTGAGCAGCACACACGGAGCAGCCCTGCCAACACCAAACAGGGCATTTACTTCTGCAGAAATGAATGTATGCACACACACACATATATATATAGTTTGTATCCAACAAAACCCAAAAAAGTAGTTTTTCAGGTAAAATTCAGGCTGAAGTGCATTTCAGCAGCCACAGTGGAGTTTTTTGCATCTCTAGTTCAGATATAACACATGCCAGCAGAGAGGTGGTGTTGATTGCTGGACAGACAACAGGGTTGGATAGCAGAAAGATCCAGCCTGATCCACCCAATGTTTGCAATTAAACCCTGTGACCTTCGCTGAGCTTCAGATGCCGCTGCCAAAACCTCGCTGTTGGCAGGACCAGAGCTGACAGCAGAACCCCAAAGCCAAAGCAGGTGCTATGGTGGGTGACCCCTGAGGGGTCTCATCCCCCCACAGCGTAGGCTGACATGGAGAGGCACGATGATACTCACCTTGCAATACCTTGCACCAGGTAACAGAGAGGCCAAGGGCTCAGCGGGATTAGCAAAAAAGGATTAGGGTTTTTTTTTTTTTTCCAGGATAAACACATAGTTATGTTAGGCAAGATAAAAAGATCTAGAGAGTGAGCGAGCTTTATATTCTGTGGCATCGCTAGCTACAGCTTGTCTCATTAAAAAGCAATCTCCCTCCTGGGTAGGGTACTCTGCAGCCAGGACTTAGGGAGTTTTTTACCTTCCTCTGAAGCATCCAGCCATAAGCACTGGCAGAAACAAGACCCCGGAGCACAGAGACAGCTGGCCCTGCCTCACAGGGCAATCCTTTCAATCCCACTTACAAACACATCAAACCCATTTCGGGCACTAAAATGTGAAGTCAGACTCCTCATGGGTATTACTGCCAACGTGACGGCCTTAAATGTGATCTGGTAGGGAACCCTTCCACAGCTCACGTTCCCTTAGTTGAGGGGGAAAATACTCCACAGTGCTGGAAAACAGCTTTTTTTCCAAGGAGCAGGTGCTGTGGTCTCACCGCGTAGCACATTACTGCAGTTAAGAGATGCTCTTCTCAAAGGACTCCAGGCAAAAGCCAACCTTACATTGCAAGGGGTTTCTCAAAACTGGGTTAAAGCCAGGCAGCCGCCCTTCTGCACTACTGAGGAGCAAAGCACATGAGCAACTCCAGGAGCTTCTGACTTGTTTTCCTCTTAAGAAATCACCAACATCTCCTATCACTTGGTGGCAGCAGAAATAGGAATATTATTAACACCCGTGACGTGCCACCAGAGATTCCTTGCACAGGGAGGCTTAGCTGGTATTTTGCTCTTAAAAAGGCAAGTCACTTACTTTGTTAATACACAGAAAAACTGCCTCTCAACTGGGGACAAATACTGTCCTACTGTCACTAATCAACTGGTAATATTTTTTTCTCTGTAAAAGTCCTCCCAGGCTGAGCACTGATTCACTGGAAGGGGAACTTTAATGGCCAAGTTATAATTCTTCCAAAATGAAGGCGTATAAACAATGAGATCGAAATACTGGTCCAGAAGAGTCTTAATTAAAGAGGTACTGTCAGACACTGCCAAAACGTCAATGAAGGCATAAAGCTGCTGGAGCCCTTACAAGTCTTCCATCAAATATTGATTGTAACTGGAGGCACGATACCAGATAAAAAGGACCCAACTTATTGAGTATGACAAATTTTATGTTCCTATAATTCTATTTAAACAGAAGATTGGGGTTTTTTATCCTAAGGAAAGGAGAAATTAATTTATTTTGGCCTCTGTCCAGGCTCGAGAACTTTCTTTGCTGGAGGGCGACACTACATTGCAGCGCTGTTAGTGGACCTCAGAGCAGCTCCCAGCATCTCGTGCAAATCCTGCCTGGGGAAACACAGCCGCTGGGCAGGTCAGTACCCACCAAGGAGCCATAGGGATGGGGTCAGTCCTGCCCACTCTGCTTTGCCAGAGGTGCTGAGTGCAGCACCATCCATGGGGATTTAACTGCAGGGTTGGCTCTTTGACGTGCTGAAAGCGAGGAGTGATAGTGTTACCTTTGGTGGAATGTCTTCCTCCTGCCGTAACCAAGAACTTCGGTCAAACTTTTCAATGCGAGGGGGCAGAGGAGGGTTTTCTGAGGTGGGGTCCGAGTTCTGCCTTGGCATCTCAGTGCGGTGAGAGGTCACCGTCAGAGCCTCCTGAAACCCAGCCAGTCCCTTTGCAGGCTGTTCATGCAGTGACTGAGACCCAGACAAGGAGCTTCCTTGGGATTTCACAGTGACCAGATGTGGAATCTAAGCACCAAGTCAAAACAGAACTATCAGTACAAAATGGAAAAAAAAAAGGAATTAAAAAAAATATTTAAAAATTTGATTTAAAAAAAAAATTTGATTAGCACTTCTGATGCACTAAAAAGCCCCCTCAGTTTGAGATCAGCACTGCCTTGTTTTCAGGAACTTCTGACTTATATTGCTTCATCGCAAGATCGATTAAAAATCACACTCGTGCAGCACAGCCTTTTAAAATCAGGCAAATGCCCAAGTCAAAGCCACGCTTCAGTCCTGCCCGCTCCTGCGGGCGCACGGTGCTGCAGTACCGCCAGCCCCACGCCAAACTGCAGGTACCAGGACGGACCTCTCCTGCCAGACCCGCACACGCTGTGTCCGCCCCAGGCTCTGCCTGCTGCTCACTGAATTTCCAGCTCCTATGCCTGCACCTCTAAGGTTATGCTAATGAGGTTTGGCATGGATCTTCCTTGTTAAAAATGAAGGGAAAAAAAAAAGAAGGAAACGATAATAAATAATAATTTTAAAAAGCGTCAGGAATTCTGAGGCATAGATGGCTTAAAAAAAGTATCTTGAGGCATGAGTTTCTATAGGTCTAGGTAGCCCTTATCCCATGGATCAGCCCTACAGATCTAAGGGATGCAAGTGAAAGGAATACTGACATCTGTTTTGGGAACTCTCAGAAATTCACAAAGCTAGAGTTTGTGAAAACAGAGCTTCTTCCCAGGACCCTGTGAAGCTGCACTCCTTTGATACAGTGGGGTTGTAACTTTTATTTGATATTTCTACACACGTTTCTATGTACACATTTACAAGTATCATGTATATATGTGTACGTATGCATACATTTACATGGGTCTCCGGGTTTCAAGTAACTTTTTCATTAGTATTTTATTACCAAGCACAAGTCTCTGTAGCTGTTGACAATATAGGTCAACAAAAAGGTCCAATACACTGAAAAGTATTTGGTGAGCCAGAGAGATTACACTGAAGTGGGGTTTTACCCACTTCCCAAAATACACAAACGAAGTACAATGGGGGGAAAAGAGCTGTATGTTGCAGGGCTTTCCTGCCTATGTTTTGCTTAAAGCTGGCATTGTACTGCTGACCTACAGATGCGCATGCCACACGTGGATGGCACTTAGTTGGCACGTTTTCCCGTGGAAAGCCCATGTGGACATGGAGCAAAGGCTTTGTACTTCCCCCTGAAATCCCCACTGGTCTGTGGCTCTGCAAGAGAACATCCTGGGCCTGGACCAGAGCCAGCACTGACACCCAGTGCAAAGCTTTTGGTGGCAGAGTCCTCACAGACCTCATGGCTCGGAGGAATTTTCAGACGGTCATGGTGATCTATGCCCTCTCCAGATGTGTTTGTGACTGATGTCAACTCAATGGAAAAACAAAACAAAACTTTGAATTAAAGCAGCAAAGAAAACAAAACCTCTTTGTGATGATCTCGGCATCAAAGCATCCCAGGTCTTTTGCACCAGGTGCTATGGATTTTTAGTCCTTTACATAAATCAGATCCAAAGAGGAACAGAGCAACTGCTGCGCTGGACCAGACCAGCAGTTCCTCTCGGTCCTCCAGCCTGTTTCTGGCAGTAACCAGTACGTGATGCTTCAAAGGAAGGTATAAACCAGCATGATGTTTTTAACATGGAGGTGACAAGAGGAATCCATTCATGAATGTAAATGCTGCTCTTACTCACGAATACGCTTAAGGCTGAGAAACCAGGGAGCAGGACACTATTTCCCTTTAAACCACTCTTTTTCTTGTTACCTTACCAGCACCCCCAGCATCCTGGCTTCGGTATGTGAGCCTGCTGGGGGAAGCACCATTACCTGCGGGTCCACGGGTCGGAGCAGGGGTGGGGTCCGGGCTGGCTGCACACCGCTGATGCTGAAAGACTCCGACCGAGGAGGCAGGTTGGGGTCAGAAATCCTGTTGGCCACTTTATGGGGCATGGCCGGCGAGCTCTGGCGATTGAGCCGGGAGCGCTCCTCCACCTGCGGCAACACAGGAACAGTGGGTGAATGCCCCATAAAAAGCCGTTTTCAACTGAAAACCAAGGTTTTCAGTTGCATTTATGTATACATTCAACACACATATATATATGAAGCTCTTTTCTCTTTAGGTATATCATATAGGTTGTATGATCAAATGTATTCTTCTCAAACGTATTGTTAAACAAGGGGGCCCTTATCCTTCACTACTATAAACACCAGCACGAGTGGTTCTGTTCAATCTATATAAAAAAATAAACATGGCAGCCAGAAAAAGGCTGGCTTTGATCTAGATTTAGCAAGTCTGGCACCTTGTCATGTATCGAAAGGAAAAGCCTCTATTACTGATAGAGAAATAAACCCAAAGCCCACTGCTTTCAGTTACTCTTGATGGAAATACGGTGGTTTCAGCTAACACAGGCATTCAAGCACTCTGGGTGCTCCTGCAGTCAGACTGTGTGCATTGATACTCATGAAGCATATGCTATGCAGGATTTTTAATAGCTCGAGAGCTGATGTATATTTTAATTTATGTACCATTAACATATTAAATACCCTTAGCATGTCTTGATTCCATCATATTCAATGTCATGTTCAAAAGCAATCTATAAAACAGATTTGCTTTGAAAGAACCACAGCTCTTCTTTAAGCAAATAAATATACACAACACAAAGGAGCCATTATATTAATAAAAATTAATCTTTTCCCCTTTCAGATAATAAGCAGGAGTCAGAGTAAAAATTAGGTAAGGGATTTGTGCTATGGACTCTTTCTTTCCCAGTTCCTGTGGGACCACCTGGGCCACTGACTTCACAACTTCCCCAGGAGCTGCGCACTGGTGAGCAGAGGCCATGCAGAGCTCAGTTCAGCGATGTCCATGAGAGTGGATGCAAGGAAGGAAGAAGAGCAGGGTGGGAAGGAGACCTTCCTCTGGACCAGCATGAGCGCTGGGTCACAGGCTTGGGCCAGTACATCTGCTTATTGGCCAAGCCTCATCAGGAACGACAGCAGGCAGAGACAGTGCTGCTGCCGACTCCTCTGGCTGTTTGCAGGTGCCCCCAGCATGCCACCAAGCCACAATGCGCCGCTTGTTATGGAGGACTTCAAAGCTTGCATGGAGGAGAACAAGGAGAGCGATGGAATGGGGATGTTGTATTGGGAAGGAGAAAGGCGCTTGGTTTCCCACTGCCAGCATCTTCCTGCTAGCACTTTGTTGCACCAGCACAGCAGAGGATGCTCTCAGGACTCTCCAGCTGTGCTTCATGGAGCCTTTCTGACTCCACCATTAAGCGGAGAGGGGGCGAAAAAGCAGCAAACCCCTGAAGGAATTAATCATCGCTCCAGTTCCAGTCATCTCTAATTGAACTCAAGATTCCTCTCAAACAGGAAACTTCCTTAGCAGCTTCTGTGCATGTCCCAGTGGAAGACTGCTAACGTTTTAACATCTCACTTCGAAGCAAAAGAAGGATAAAAGCCATGGGGACTGAAGGAGGAGCTGACGTGCACATTGGCTGGTGCAGAGAACAGCATGGCTCATGACACACAGCTGAGTCCCGAGCCCCCGGGAAGCTGAGCTGCGGGAAAACACTGCAGGACCCAGCCACTACATGGAAAATGTCCAATTAAACGTGTCCCCTCCTCTATCCATGGCCATGTATGGTGTAAACTTGCCCAAACCTGTCCTTCAGCTGACCAAGCTGCAAGCACTTTGTCACTGAGAAGTTAGATCTGGCTACCTGCAGGATTTATTTTAGCAAATACTGGTCTATAGCAGAAGGGTCAGTAACAGAGAGAGCTGCTAATTACAGTATTACTGCTTGGGGTGCTAATGTTACGTCCCTGGCTGGATCATCAGAGGGTCCCCGCATGATGTCTGAAAAGGCCCAGCTAGTCCTCGATTGCAAGAAGAGATGTGCCACCCAAGCTATATCCCAAGTTAATATCCAGCGGCCAACTCTTCATCCACAAGAAGATAAGTAGGAGGAACAGTAGATGGGGGTGTGTACCCACATGTGTTGGTGAGAATATCTGATCAGACTGCTTTGTTTAGCATAAAAAAAGATAAATGTTTGTGCTTCGGGGAAGCTATGAAAGACGCAGCACAGCCCAGTTCCTAACCTAGAGCTTGGTTTTTACCAACAGGCCGGTCCCTGAACAAGGGGATCCAGGGACATAACCACAATGTGAGCGCGCACAGCCTCACCTTTATGCTTTACCCCATTTCTGCAGGGTCTTCCATGTGAAGATGGGTGAGATGGGAGAATAAGTGCACAAAGGAGAGGTATGAAAAGCAGGGAGGGACACCGCATCAGGAGAACTCAGCTGTGATGATCAAGATCCTGAGAGAGGAGACTTGAAACCAAACAGTATAAAAACAAGGACGATACAGGATACCAGGCAAGATGCTCAGGGAATATCCCAATAACATCTGGAGAGCCTCCAGAAATTGTAGGCTGAGCACTGGACTTGTCTTTTCCTTGTTCCCAAAGGAAAATAAAGTCTCAGTATTTCTGTTAAATTAGCGTTGTATGGGTTGAGTACGGGAATTGCTAAACTATAGCAACAACCATGGTAGGCTGGTTAAGAATCAGTGCAAGTCTGACTATCTGTACAGTCAGCAAGGATGGTTCTTCAACACATGCAGCAAAGTAGCTAAATTGTGCTAAAAGTGGGACTATGCAGTAGATAAAACAGGGGATGGAGGGAAGAGAAGTAGTTTTGGGAAGTTCCCAAGGGAACATCAGTTCAAGGCAGTACTTCAAACTACAACTCTCAAGAGGATAAATATGGCACAGTTGCTGCTTTGAGCATTTCATTAGTCAGAGTGACACAGGTAAAGAATAAATGGTTTGGAGAGCTAATTGGTGGAAGTTGGAGATGTTCCCAAACAACGGGAAACCCCATCTTCCCTGATTTCAGCAAAAGGTACAAGGCCACATTCTGCCGCTCTTATTCACATTGTGCAGTTCCCAACGCCCCACTTCCAGTGATGGCATCAAAAAAAGACAACTCCTCCACAGAATAAAGGAAATAGGCCTTTGAGTTTGAAATGGAAAGCTAAATCCAGCACTTCTCTCCTGCACCCCAGATAAAGAATAAGATTACTTTTTATATATCTTTGTTATAGTTTTGAAGACAGCACTAGAGGTACTTTAGCAACGCTCTGGAGGATTTATTTAAAACCAGACAATAAAAGTGAAGAGTTTACTCCCTTTTTCCTGCCTGCTGCCTACTCTCAGCACTTCTGCAGATGGGCAGTGAAGACCCAGTGCTGCAGAAAGCCACAGAGGCACCAACGAGGTAGAAGACTCTCCCGTCAGAGGTGACTCAGCACATCTGGAACATTTCATCCGCAGACACATCTACCAAACCTCCTCTTCCACTGGAAGGGCTGGAGAATGATGCTGCAACTCCATGAAAATAAATTTTCTGGCACATCGGCACCAGAAGACTCTGATGACCACATCAGAAAGAAGGAGAAACCTAAGAAGTGAAAAGAGTTTTTGACACCGACATCTGTCTCTGAACTGTTTGTATGACTGGTCTTTGCTTAGCAATGGACAGCTGACTGAATTTCTTGAGCGTCTGATGCTTGCAGGTATTGTGGATGCAGGTGAGGGCTGTCAAGAGGAAGGACTGAAAAACAACTACATGTTGGATGCACATCGCATCTCTGCCAGGATGAAAGGGTGCAGACATTTGGCAGCAGAGCAGCGACCCTGTTTAGCAGGAAGAATGATTGAGTTACTAAAAGATCTTTCTGCCTAGGAGTAGGGTTACAAAATTAAACCAACTAAACACAAAGAACTTTAGAAAAAGTAATAGCAAGAGTGGGCACCAGTCTTACTGGAGCCATCACAAAGAGATTAAGGAGATTAAACACACTTTCTTTGTGTTTGCACGTGATCCTGAAACTGCACTGTGACAATGCACATCTTCATCTTTTTGAGACTGTTCAGCTAGGCAATAATTAATATTCAAGATCTCACCACCGTTACAACAATTCCCTCTTTTTTTCTGGAGATAAAAAAAAAATTGGCAGCATGGCTTGCTTTTCTGAAAACCATGAAAGAAGAGCAACCCCAAGAGATCCAGCCCTGAGCATGGGAGGAAAAGCTGGCTGGTTCCCGCTTCATTATGGGGAACAGAACAAGGCTCAGCAAAGAACCCTGTACAACCACCCTTGCCATCACTCCTGACCCTGAGCAGACTTGTGGACATCCAAGGGAGGAGCATCAGGAGCTCCTGGCATGTCCACAAGTCCCCAACTATGGCTGAACCCCTCCGGGAGGGATCCATCCTCCTCCCTGCACACCCTCATGGAAAAACCTCCTTCCTCTGCTCCCTTTGCTTGCACAAATGTACACGCAGATGCACACACATTGCATTGAACTGGGAGTGCTTCCAGCACAGTTAATGGCATCTGCTGGAAGCCGACCCAGCAGAGCGCAATCTGCCATCCATATTTTGGACCGAACCGTGTGCCCAGCCCTGCAGATGCAGACGAGCATCACCATGCTCCTCGCTCTTGCCTACCTCCTTGGCCCATGCTGGCTTCTCGCTGGCATTTATCCCTTCTTTGTAATGGTAGAGGGGTTTCTTCTCTGCTGGCCTCTGGTCCTGCCGCTGCTGCTGCTGCTGCTGCTGCAGGGACACCAGGTAGTCCCGCTCCTGCTGGAGCTGGCGCTGCAGCCGCTCTGCCTGCCGCTGCTCCTCCAGCTGCTTGCGCTTGTACTCCTGCCCAGGAGAAAACACAGTGACACGGGTGCATGGACAGGGCGGACACGCAGGGCCGCAGACCGCAGGTTTATCAGTTGGGGTGGAAAATGGGGCCCGAGTATCTGAAAAGCTGTTTTCTGGCAAAGCTCATGGGTTTGAAAGGCTTTGGGGACTGAGCTGTAAAGCATCCTGGGGGAGAGGCAGTTGGAGGGATAGAGCCCACAGATTCAGAGTTGTGACACCAGCATCAGCACTGTGCAGCTGGTGAAGTGCCAGGACTGGGGAAATTCTGTGGGACCCCTGGGGGCTCAGACATCCATTTAGGAGTTACCAGTGATTTTGCCCAGATTTTTCTGGATGGGAAGAACAAAGGATAAGTCCGATGAGGTGCCAAACACCCCCCTCCCCCCCGGTCAGGCAAAACCCAACTGAAGCCAAGTCCTCTGTAGGACCAATTTACTGTTCGTGGGAAGGGCTGCACAACAGAGCCAACCGTATGATCTTTCTGAATCCCTACAGCTCTATGAGGTTTAATGAGTAAATCATTTTGAAAGGGCCTTTTTAAAAAGGCAAGGGCTTGTATGAGGGTTTTTCTTTTCCCTGTATAAAATTAATAGCAAGAGAAAAAAAAAGAATAATCCCTGAAGATTAAAAGAAAATACTGTGAGAGTAACAGCTACAAGCATTTAAAAAAAGGGTAACTCCAAAAGAAATTAAATTTAAAAAGAGGACATTTAGAACGCAAACAGCATGAGAGGGAATACACAGCGTTCCTGTGAGGAAATTAAAACAGAAGCCTTCACTCAGAACATGAAAACCCACAGGGCAGGGTGGGTTTGCAAGGTGTAGGGACGTGACAGCTCGGCCGCACTCCAACATTCTGCCAACAGCCTCCAAAACCATGCGGCAGCAAAGAGGGCTGCTCCTCTCCCGAAGGCACAAGCACGCCAATGCCACGGAAGGGATGCAACAGGAGAGGCACGCAGCGCGAGCGGACCCAGCCCGAAGCAGCGGCGGGGGAACTGGGGCATGCTCGTGACCACAGCATCCCCCGCATCTCGGCGTGGCGGGAGGCACTCAGGGGACATGGGTGCATGTGGGCACATGCAGACGCAACCGGGACAGGAAGCGGCAAGCATGGCCTGGGCCTCTCATTTACCAGAAGTAGCGCTTGCTCCTGCAACAACTGCTGCTGCAGAATCTCTAACTGTCTCTGCTCCTCCTCTAACTGTCGCCTGATGTACTCCTGGAGACATGGGCAGCAAGGATCAAAGGAAAAAGAGAGAGAAGGTAAAAGAGACAGTGTTTCCCAAGAGGAAGGAGAATGACATGGACACCCGCATCCATCCCACCTGAAAGCTGGCATCTATCGATCAACCAAGACACCCTCCATCCCTGCCCGAAGAGCCCAGGATGTCTGCCACTCTGAGGGTAAAGAGTGAAAACTGCTGGGAAATGGCAAACATTAACTGGGAATACCTCAGAACCCCACCCCAGGAACCAGTGGGTGGGAAAAACCTGCATCAAGTGTCTCCACACCCGTGGGCCAGCAAGTGGATCCATACAGACATAAACAACAGCAGTGGAAAGTGACACACGCAGCGTTAACAATTAAGCAATTTGCTCTCAAGTGGCAGAAAATATGAGTGTTCATGAGAAAAATTTCTGATTAGAGGAAGAGGAATCCGCTCCCACCAGGTTACCTGCTCGTGCTCTGCACGTCGCCGCTCCTCCTCCCGCCGCATCTGCTCCTCATAGTGCCGCCGCTGCTCCCGCTCCTGCTGCTTCCGCAGCTCCTTCTCCCGCCTCTGCTGCTGTGGGGGACAGGAGGCACAGGTCAGCACCCCTGCTCCTTTCCCCGGGGAGCTCAAAGTCCTTTTTCTCACTGTTTTTGGAGAGCCACCTCACCCAGCGATCCGCAACGCTCCCGACTGCCTGAGGAGATGCCTTGCCAGCAGACAGGGGTGGTAGAGGAGCTCGTTGATCCCACCCTATCCTCACACACTCTGGTGCCCAGCACCAGTTTTGGAGAATCCACAGCATCCTCCCAGCCAGCACTGGACCATGCAGACAACCGCATTTCTTCTCATGCTTGCAGGTGAAGCCACATAGGCATGGTCTCTAGTTACCAGTGTGCCCAACAGGGGGGGTTAATCGGGCCCTGGATGCAGTGGGGGGCTCATGCTGGGAGCTGCACGGTCCCACAGAATCACAGAATCGCTCGGTTGGAA